TTGTTCAGGTTGTTGTTGCACTAGCTGTTGAGGTTGTTGTTCAGGTTGTTGTTGCACTAGCTGTTGAGGTTGTTGTTGATATTGTTGATGTTGTTGGAGGAGTTGTTGGAGTTGAATAAGTTTATTTCTCATTAAAGAAAAATAACAAACTCCAGATCTGGCAATGATAAAAATATCATGCTCCCATGTTTTTGCAAGCTGGAATCTTTTGTATCTATCAAAATTTGTTGTTAATTCCAGTGCTTTGAATAATCTGCTAACAAAGTATTTTCTTCTTTCAAAGTTAGGCAAATTATTTGAAGACATTTTTTTTACTGTTATTATTTGAGATCTGAGAGATTTAAGAGTTTTTATAGATTTGAGAGAGAAAAAATATATATATTTCAAAAAATGAGCTAAATAGGTGTTTAGCAATCATTTTAATCACGTGAAATTAATTTATTAATTGTAAACAATCATTATAATCACGTTTTTTCGCGTTTTCGCGTAAATCACGTTTAACGATCGTCAAAAATTAGGTAGCATTATAATAATAATAATTATTATTACTTTTATTATTATTTAATATTTAACATTATATCAAATAATTTAAAAAAATAAACAAAAATAAATTTTATTGCATTCAAATAAATTAAAAGAAAAAAATAAGAAAAGAAATGTACAAATCAATAAAACGTAATAATATAACCTATAACTATAATTATAATCATAACCATTATAACTTATAATTTATAATCATTTTAACAATCATTTCTATATTAGTTAGTGCAAACGATTTTAAATGTAATTTAGTTTAAAATATCTAATTTTTCGCTATTTCCAAAATTTTGCCATAAAAATTCGGTTAACAAATAATAAAGCTAATCAATCATATAAATCATAAAATCAATATAATAAAAAAAAAATAAAATAAAGTTAATATAAATAAAATTAATATAATAATCTTCGCCATACGATAATAGAGGGAAAGAAAGAGAAAATTTACCTCACGATTTGCGTTATGTTTTGCGATTGAATGATCGTTATCAGTATAGAATTGTAAACGGTAGTTATGAACAGATCCGAGAGTGAATTTATCAACTAAATTCGCCGTATTAAGAAAGTGAACTATAAAAAATAAAATCAAAATTAAAATAAATTAAAAATTGGATAAAATTAATAAAATCGAATGAGATTAATCCTATTTATAATTGTTGTTTTGTTTAAAATCTTTTAACTTATTAAAGAAATTGAAGCATTTTAGATTCCAGATAAAATAATTCTTACCATTGTCTAAAGGAATGAAATGAATGATGAATGAATGAATGAATTTTTTTATTAAATAGTAATAATTATAATAATTAGTAATAATAATAATTACCAACGTAAACAAAAATATACAAATGAATATAAATAATAAATAATAAACATAATATTATTTACCATCACCAGTTCCATGAACTAATAAGAATTGAGCATTAGAGAATCCAGTCATATTGGTTACAGCAGCCTTTTCATAACCATTAAAATTCAAGGCGGGTGTTTTCATATAACGTTCAGTGTAAATGGAATCATAAAATCTAGAATTATAAATAGAATTATAAATAGAAGAAACAATAAATGATAGAATAAATGAATAAATCAATGAATATAAATAATAAATAAAGAAGTAAGTAAATGATAATAGAATAAATAATAAATAATAATAGAAGAAATACCTCCAATCAGTTACAGGAGCTACGGCCATTCCAGCTTGGAATACTCCCGAATCAGCTTCAATAACTTTTGAAGTAAGAAAACCACCAAATGACCAACCCCAAATTGCAATTTTACTTGAATCAACATAAGGTAATTTTGCCCATAATTTAGCGGTATTAATGGAATCGATTGATTCATATTCACCCAAATGTTTTCTTACACAAACTCGAAATGTTCTTCCTAAATAACCGGTACCTCGAGTATCAACAGTTACCACAACAAATTTTAATTTCGAAGCTACATATAAATGCCAATCAAAAAAAAATTTCTTATTGACCAATTGAGAAGTGGGACCTCCATAAACATGAAATAGAACGGGATATTTTTCACGACCAGTTTCATCCATTCCTGGTGGTCTGACTTCCATAACATTTAGTTCTAAATATATATAATAAATAAATAATAAGTAAATGAATGAGTGTGTGTGAATGAGCTTCCAAATAAGTATATCGTTAAATAATATAGAACGATAAGAATGATAAGAGTTCTTACTATTTCCATCACTCTCTACAGTACTATATTTTATTGTAGGCATATCAATGGTTTTAATCAACGACTTCAATTTATTATTATCTTGTAAAGAAACCGAAAAGGCTAATTAATCCAATATCCAAATTAATATTAATAAAATAAATCAAATTAATAATAAAAAAAAGATTAATAATAAAAATTAATATGAAAATAATAAAATCAATCCAACAAAAATATTTATTAAAAAAAATACTTACAACTATTATCAACTTTTAATACTTTTTGCCAAGGAATTTCAGGACCTTCATATTTAATATTATAATATTTAGCACCTTTAGAAAATGAAACTTCATAATATCCCGCTTCATCAGTATTGGTTAATGCAGTTTTGGTAAGTCCATCAAATGATACTGAATATAAATGTCTTTCTATTGATGATTTTTCTGTACTCATGAAATATCTAAATTATTAATAATTAATTAATAATATGTTTATAATCATGGTGAATTAATAAAATAATAATAATAATAATAATAATAATAATAATAAAAAATAAATAAATAATAATTATAAATAATAATAATAAATAATAAATACTTACACAAGTTGAAGAGTATAATCAATAGCTTTTACACCACCAACAACTTCCCAATTACCACTGGTGAGATATCTCGGTGTAGCATTATTTAAAGGAGAGAAAATCGCGAGATGATTATATCCATTGTTGACAACTACATCAGCATATGAATCTTGTGTTATTCCTCCAGAATTATTTAAATAAACCATACTTCTGGTCTATTAATTAATTGATTATAATTATAAATTAGATATAATAATAAATATAAATTAAATATAATAATAAATATAAATTAGATATAATAATAAATATAATTTGATTATAATAATAAATATAATAAATATAAAATTAAATAATAATAATAACACCAAATAATAATAATAATAATAATAATAATAATAAATACTTACAATTTCAAACCAACCACCATCTCTTGTTTCAGCATTTTCTTCCCTTACAGTGACTCCACTACGATTATTAGCATCAACTAAAACAACTCTCGCAATATCTTGAACTCTATTCATCACTCTAACCAAAACATTATCATTACCCGCCCAACAAACTTCAGTTATTATTTTATCGGTGTCCCCAAAATCATTAGTAAATGGAATAGCAGCTGATTGTGATACCAATGGAGTGGATGTATCGTATATATGAAATGTTACAACCGGATTTGGATATCCTGGTTTTGGATATTTCATTATAACTTCTTTTGCATATGGTGTTGCCAAAAGTCCATTAAGATATAAAGGAAATCGGTATTCCGGAACTAATGATTCATTTAATCTTAAATAAGCAATTTGTGTCGAGTTAGGTGACCACCAAAATGCAAAATTATTAGCGAGAACTTCCTCTAATTATTTATAAATATATATGTATGCGCGTACGATAATAATCATTAATATTAATCATTAATATTAATCGTTAATAATAATAATAATAATAATAATAATAATAATAATAATAATAATAATAATAATAATAATAATAATAATTTATTATCATTAATAATTAATTAACAATACCTTCATAAATCCAATCAGGAACACCATTAAATACTACTGTTGATCCATCATAAGTTACACGTCTCTCTTCTTTTAAATCTACTGAAATATATAAATCATTATCTTTAACAAAAGCCTAATATAAAATAATATATTCATTAATTATTAAGATATAACATTTATACACTCATACTCTCATATATATTAACATATATTCATATATACTAGCATATACTCATATATACTAATATATAATATATGCACCCATACGCTCTTATATATTTATATATTTATTTACCAGACTGTGACCGACTGAACTCCATTTAGCTTGTGCGATTGTTACTTGATGAGTTGTATCAATTGGAGTTGTTATAGGAAGAGTTTGTTTTGATGAAATATTGAATACATAATAATTTGCTGTAAATGAATATCTCCAACCCTAAATTCATATTAATATGGGAGAATATATATTATAGATATTAGATTATATTATATATTACATAATATAAATTAAAAAAAAATTTTTCTTACCTTAGTCTTATTTGCTGCAAGTAATACATATTGATTGTCAGGTGAGACAGAAAATGAGAAATACTTTAACTGATTATAAATAATAATAATTAAAATTTAATAATTAAAATTTAATAATTAAAATTTAATAATTAAAATTTAAATAAATAGAAATAATGATAACCTTTGAAATATAAGTTCCGTCCACTAATACTGTTTTTGAATTGTCTTTAGCACTTTGAACTACAATGCTATCTCCATCTCGATAAATGTACCGTCCATCATCACCATCTAAAATAAAATTAAAAATTAATAAAAAAAATAACAATTTATCTCCGATACAAAGTAATAATTAAGATAATTACCGGATGTACTCCACTCCAAAGTTGTATAGGCCGGATAAAAACTACCATTATATAAATCTCCAAATTTTATTCGACTTAATGTACTTTGATTATTAATACTTGATCGATAATATGCGTAAAGAACTGCTGATCCGACCCACGCAAATATAAAAATTCCCGCAATTATTAAACACGGAAGAATCGATCTTTCTTTTTTCTAAAAGATTATTTTTCGTTGCGATCATATTATTAATAAATATTAATTAATTAAATCGAATTAAATTAATTAAATTAAATCGAATTAAATTAATTAAATTAATTAAATCGAATCAAATCGAATTAAAAAAAAGTTTGAATTAGTTAAATATTAATAAAATTAAGTTAAAAATATAATTAAAGAATAAACTAACTCACACTACGCTTAGTATAACCCTCTTCTCCATCCCAAGTTTCTTCAACATCTACCACCGTATCATCTTCTCCTCTTTCTTTGAGCATGATTTCTTGTTCTTCTCCTTCAGTTTTTTCTTCTTGTCTAAAATTAACAACTTCCTCTTCTTCTTCATTATCTCGAAATTTTTTCTCATTTAATGTCCACTGTTGTTGTTGTTGCTGCTGCTGCTGTTGTTGAGATTCTGATGATAATGATGATTCTCCCGCTTCACTTAAATCTCGAGTTGAATAATTATTAAGATTAATATCATTAATATATTGAGATCTTTCTACATCGGATTCCTTGGAAGGGAGTGACTCATACTTGTTAATTCTCATTATTATTATTATTATTATTATTATTATTATTATTAACTACTAATTAATTAATTTTTTATTATTATTATTTAACTAATTACTATTATGATTATTATTATTATTGCAATTCTTGTTTCTGCTTTTTTTTCTATTTGTTTTTGAATAATAACACTCTGAAACTATATGAAAACTATATGAAAACTATATGAAAACTATATGGAAACCATAGAAAAAACCATTGGTAAAAAGATATTATGTGTGTGCGTGCGTGTGTGTGTGTATGTGTGATGCTATTTACAAATTTTTAACTGTGAATTTTTTTTTTTACCAGTGGGGGTTTTTTTTACAAGTTATATTTTTACAAGTATTTGTTTTTTTTTTTATTTGAAATAAAAAAAAGCCACTCACTTAATTTATAAAAAAAAAAAAGTAAGAAAGGGACTAAGAACTAAGCTTCTTTCAAATTCTAAGCCGGCACTGTGAACAAACAAACGATTAGATTTTTTAGATTTTTTACACATGCGACGTATATGAAAACACGTTTTTTGAAGGCTTATTATACTGACTGTGGCTTGGAAATAAAATCAAGTTTGTTTAATTATATTAATTCGCCACCGCCATAAATAAATTTTCTCGATCCCAATTTCAAAATTAAAATTTTTCGTCGCCACAACATTTATATTTTCAATTTTCTTTTTTTTTCGATAAATTCAATTATGTTTTAGGTAATTGTTGGAATTTGTCAAAAGATAAAAAAGAAAAGTGAATTACATAAAATTAACTTTTTAGTATCATTTTTTTAAATATATATACTATATATATTAATAATTATTTGATAAATAAGGATTACTTAATAAATTACAAAGTCCAAAATTAAATAGCATATAGGCAAGAATCAAAAAATTTTTATTTATTCAACAAATTTATTTTATTTATCTATTATAAAAATCTGGAATAGTATATTCAACAAGTTTACATTATTAACTCAATTAAAGAATTATATAAATTAGCTAAATAAGAATAACGGTTTTAATTTTTTGACAAAACATATAATTCTCTGAAGTCATTACAGAGACAGGAATATTATCAGTCAATGTAAATAAAAGATAGTGCTTATCTATCTACCCAATACATTTCTTTACCCTATTTTTCTTATTAGCATAAAAGTCATCAACCTTTACTTTGTCCTTCAACAAGCCTACAATTATTTCCATAAGTTTTTTTCACTCCTCTGCTAAGTTCAGTATCATCACTCAATACCTCACTATCAATTTTTTTATTGGATAATAACTCTTTGATTGATATATATTATTTGGTGTACATATTCTTTGGCTACAATTTAAAAAATTAAAGTTAGTTAAATAAATGTTTATGTGAATTACAATTCCTTGATAAGACCCACCAGTAGTTGTAATGCCATAAATATAATCATAATAATCTTCTGGATCTCTAACCATTTTGTGCTTTTTATTTGAATAGAAAGTGCTTTCAAGTTGCACAATATTTTGAATAATTCCTATGCTTTCATAGATTTTTTAGTCTCAGTTATTCACACCAACACTTCTTTATATTACTCATTTTAATGGCATGCGCTTCTACACCAATAATTTCCAAATCTGGATTTATTGAAATTGGTTTCTTGATAATTTATTTGACAATCTGTATAGACTCTTGTAATATTGCGTCGACATACCTAAAGTGTATTATCTATCCTAAATCCTAACTTTAATATCATCTATACACCGTTGGAAATTTATATTATTGTCCTCAATCTCTTGAAAAAAATGTTAGCCTTTTTAAATTTCTAAAAAAGATTTTCTATTACAGTTTGAAATGTGGAAGGTTACATATATCAGTGACTCCATACTTGTTTAAACATATTCCTCATCAGTCTAGTTTTAAAAAGTGAAAACCTTTTTAATTGGAAATTTTGTACAAGGTCTATAATACTCTTTGCATGTTCAAGTGGCATTCTCACATTTAAGTTCTTAGGTTAATTTGAGGAGTGTTGGACCTGAAATCTCTTGTTCATTAATAATATCGATGGATTTATCCTCAAGGTCTAGTTCATTTTTTTACAGATTGTAAAGAATTAAAAATGTCTTTCGACTAATAGAATAACTTTCGGTTTAAAAAAATGGATTGTAATCTATACATATTAATTGTCTTAAATTTGTCGCACAAGATAATCTAGATGTGGATCTGGCAGCTCTGATAACAAAAAATGTATAAAAAAAAAAAACTGGAAATGAGCTCTGATTCCGGAAGAGAGAGATGTGATTATTGAAACAGTATGTAAACAATTCCCTTTCTTGTCTTACACTAATTCAAATTCCTGGTATCAAGATGAATTCCCAATATGCAAAGATGTACATCAAAGAAATTAATAATCACTATCAACATTAAAAAAAACATTTTATTTATACAATTTGTATTTCCCGAAGTGACACTTTTTGCTATTTCATAAAGTTTAAAATTTTTATCATTTATCACATTTATCACAACAAGATTCATAACAATAATTTAAAATTTATTTGATTTTTGAGTCAAAATTTGGAAAAGTCATGTGATTGGCATTTCTAAGTGTTCTGTACTGTATAAATATGAAACGTTTAAATAATACACTAAAAACATTATTACATATAATTTTTTCTGTTATTATTTTATTTTATTAATTATTATTTTATTATTTTATTATTTTATTCTTAGTATTTATATTATTAGTTAAATATTTATTATACTATATTATTAGTATTATATATTATTTGTTTATTATTTATATTTATTGTAGTACATATATAAATCAATAATGTAGATCATAGTGGTCAACAAATTGATCAACTAATTGTTCAAGTTAATGGTTAATGACCAACTGATTGATATAATTACTGGCAAAGATATTGGTCTTAAAGAGTGAAGCTAAACCTATTTTAAAATTTCTAAACCTTTTGGAATTTTATCTTAATCCTAAATCTTTTATCCAAACCTCTTAAATTATCTTAAACCTTCTAAACTATTCTAAACCTTTAAACTATTTTAAACCTCTTAAATTGTTCTAAACTTCCTAAATTATTCTAAACCTTAAATCTTTTAAATTATTTTAAATTTTCTAAGTTGTTCTAAATTATTTTAAATTAAAATATTATAAATATTCATATTTAATATATATGATTATATACATATTGTCAAAAGTAAAAAGTCTTTAACTTAATTTCAAGTTTTTCAAGTTTTAATTATATTTGACTTAATAATTATATCAATTTACTATATAAAAATAAAAATTTTGTTTAACTCAATTCTAATTTTTTGATTTTTTAACTCAATTGATAGTATGTATATATATTTGTATATGTTTTATTTAATCACAGAGTTTATAAATACCAATTAATTATAAATTTCATATTTATTAATTATTTATAAATTTAATATATAACTTTGAATTAGAACTAAATAATAAGAAATAATTTTTTACTAAGATATTTTTAATATTATTTGAAAAATTTTGTTTCTGATCTTATAATCAAAATTAAATTATTTTTTAAAATTAAAATATTTTTATTACTATTTAAAAGTTCTTACTTTGGATTTAACAATAATTATTAATTCATGATCTGTGATAAAAGTAAACAAAATGTCAATGACTTAATAGTAAATTTTGGGATTAATATTAATTAATAAAAATTCGTCTTCTTGAAATCTCAAATTTCCCATATATAAATTATGATAAAACATAATAAAACAAAAGCAATTCTTCTTTCTTGTGGCTCTCTTATTCCTGACTTGCATTATGGACCATTTTCACAAGATTGGTGGTATTCCACTACAATTAAAAATGAAACTCTATTAGTTCCTATTTGTCTGGAAATAATTATTGTTACAATTCTTAATAAGCAAAAATTTATTTTACATATTGTTCAAGACCACCCAAAGAATTTATAACAGCTTAGTTACTACTGTTAAACTGGAACATTATCAAGTAGTATTGAAGAATATTGTAGTACGGTATTAACTTCTTTATATTAAAATATTTTTTAAACTAAATCAAAATTTTTCAAAACTACAGGAATTAGGTTTTAATAATAATAGTATAGTGAATTAATTATTAAATGGAGTTTTATTTTGATTATTTTATATTATAGTTGATAAATTTCAAATTTTTATATATTTATTAAGTAAGTAAAATTTTGTATCATTATTTATTTATATATATTGTAAAAAAAGAAACTTATTTGTATAAATGATGGAAAAATTATTTTATAAAATTAAAATATATCATAAAACAATACTTGTGACTATATTCGAAAGAAATACACTTGCAAAGTTTGATATCTTACAAAAGTTTAACAGTTTTGTACTTTTTAGTTTAAAGAATAATTATATTAAAAAGAGATTAGAATCAAAAGAATCACTAATATGTTAACCAACAGATTGTGCAGATAATAATATAATGAATGTGCTATATTTTTATTATTTGAAAAAATAAACGTTTGCTAAAATTAATTGGTAAAATATATTTTAAAATGGACTAAAAAAGCATGTAGAATTATGGAAATATGATTAGTACTTCAAGAAATTTATTCTGAGAATTATGTATTTAATGAGCGTGAAATAAGAGTATAGTATACATTTTTCAAAACCGTGAAATATATCAATATTACACTATTTAAAATTGACGAATTTAAGATAATATTTTATAATTTAAAAATTAAAAAAATTTTAGATCACTAAATATTCTTTTTATTTAATAT